GATGAAATATGTTAGTGTCAACTTTCCAGCAGGAGTTTTAAAAAAACAAAACAAACACCTTTAAGCTGAAGAGCTTGGGAAATGTAGACTACTAAGAGGTCTCAAATAAATATGAACTGGGATTTTTTTTAAGAGGTCAGATAACAGTCCAATGAGTGGGAAAAATTATAGAATTTCTCGACAAATCATTATAACTGCTTTTGCAAACCTGTTCATAAGATGTTCCAGAAAATGCATCTGACTGGTTGTCATCCTTTCTACAACTGAGAGCAAACACAGCTACTTGCTACCATGTGAGAAAACTGGTTTAGTACACACATGGGACATATGGGTGCCCTTTGGCCCAGTATAATGTTTAAAGCAGGAGGCAGTACTTCTAAGGCAGTGCTCTCAAAGACCAGCTCAACCCCTGGAGAGTGTCAGCAAATACTCAGGCTCTATCCCAGACCCTCCAAACCAGAAACTCTGAGGGTAAGGCCCAGCCACTGTGTTTTACCAAGACTCCCAAGGGATTCTGTTCTCTGAAGTTTCAGAACCACTGCTACAAACCAGGGGTTGGCAAAGTTTTTTCCTCAAAAGCAGAGTAAATCACTAAGGCTTTGCAAGCTAAGAGGTAATACTGAAGTCACTGTGTAAACATGCAGTAAAACGATAAAAACCATTCTTAGTCCACAGGTTGAAAAAACACAGTGGCTGGACACAGTTTGCCAGTCTCTGCTCTAAAACATCTCAAATGCCCTTCTATAATAAATCCACAGAAATTCTCACACAGCAAACTATATGGTCTGCTTATATCTAAAATGATCAGCTTAGCTCTTCTACATGAAGGAGACAGTCTACGTACTTGCAGCAGAAACATTATACTTTATTAGGTCCCTGTATATGTCTTCCCACCCGTGAGCCAGTTACTGCAAGGAACACACAGGAAGTATATTTGCACCTGCCATGTTTACCATGTGAGTACCCAGAACCCTAGCTCTTGCTTGTTCATGTAATTTCAGATAATTCTCCCTAACGATCCTACAAATGACAGTATTAATAATCCCATCTTACAATCAAGAAAATGTGGTATATATACACAATACAGTATTACTCTGCCATAAAGAAGAATGAAATTGTGTTTTTTGCAGGAAAATGGATGGAACTAGAGATTAACATGCTAAGCATAGTAAAGCCAGGCTTAAAGGACAAAGGTCCCATGTTTTCCCTCATATGTGGAAACTAGACATATAAATGTACACATAAGTACATATATATGTATATTAATAGGTAGGTGATAGACAGACAGACAGACAACATGACTGCGCTAGTGGGTCTGTCTGAGGGGACCACGGGGGAGGCAGAGAGGAAAAGACAATGATAGGAGTAATACTGAAATACATTGTATCTGTGTAGGAAGATGATATACAGACATGTATTGAAAGCTGTTGAATAGTAGGGGAGGAGGAGGATAGAGAAAGTAATGAGGGGGTTAATCTGATTAAAGCAACATATATACATGTATGAAATATCAAGGCAAGGCCCCTTGAACTATTAATATACACTTTAAAAAATGAAAGACAGGAAGGTAAAACAGGTCCTATCTGGGTTGGGTACCAGTGGGACTAGGGAGGGTAAACAGAAAGGGTGAAGGAAGGTAAACATGGTGGATGTACTGTGAGTATGAAAATAGAACAATGAAACCTGTTGAAATTGTTCTAAAAGGGGGGAAGGTATGAGAGAGAATGACATAGGAAGTGAATCTAATTAAGATACATTGTAAGCACATATGTAAATGTCACAATGTATCCCCCTGTACACATGCTAATAAATAAATTTCTTTCAAAATTCCATTTTACATATGAGGAAATTGAGGCTCAGAAAGACTCATTTTCCCAATGTCACAGATTTTTTAAGTGGCACTGCTAGTTTTAAATCCAGGTTCCTAGGATTTTAATGCCTATGAAATCTTTATCACAAACTATACCATCTCCTAGAATTGGTCCTTGACCTCGAGGGCTTGCAATTAATCAAGAAGCAAAGATCAAAGACATAAAACAATAGAAAGCAATAAAGTGTTAAGAGTGTCTGCTTATTAAACCCTTTAATTTGGGGCTCAATGGAAGAGTCAAAAGTAATTCAACCTCAAAACTGTTAAGTGTTAAGAGGTGAGGCAATAATATCCCATCCCCATAAGTATATCCATGTCCTAATCCCTGGAACCTGGGAAGGTTGTGCTAGCTCACAAAGGAGGATTGAAAGTGCACATGAAATTAAAATTGCTAACCAACTGAATTTGAGATGGAGAGATTAGCCTGGATTGTTGGGGTGGGGACCTCCATGTGATCAAAAGGTTCTTAAATGTGGAAGGAGATGCAGTATCGCCTGTAGGTCTGAACTATGTCTCCTCAAGTTCGAGGGTTAAAGCCCAAATCCCCAATGTGATGATATCTGGAAATGGGACTACTGGGAAACCATTAAGTTGAGATGAGGTTGTGAGGATGGGGCCCTCATAATGAGATTAGTGTCCTTACAAGAAGAAACCTCAGCAAGCTTGCTTCCTTATTCTCCCTATCAGGGAAGACAGAGCAAGAAAGCACCAGTCTGAAAGCCAGAAGAGCCCTCTCCAGAACCAAACATGATGGCACCCTCACTGGGAACTTCCAGTCTCTAAAATGTGAGAAAATAACTTTCTGTTGTTCAAGATACCAGTCTATGGTATTTTGTTCTGGCAACCCAAGTAGACTGTCAGCGTGATGAAATGTGAGAAGACTCCGCTGGCCATTAGCTGGCTTTGTAGATGAAAGGGGTTCAAAAGCCAAGGTGGTCTATAGAAGTTGGACCAGACAGGACAGAACCCTAACAATGTCTTGATTTTAGCACCATGAGAACCACATTACCCATCTCACCTGTAAATCTGAAAGATAAATTTGTGTCATTTTAAACCATTTAACACGTGATAATATGTTGCAGCAGCAATAGGAAAGGAATACATGAGAGGTAAAGAAGGCTGAACCTGTTTCAAGTCTCAGCTTGATAGAGAAGGGTGGAGAAGGTTAGGCAGGATGCACTGAGGTGACTGAAGCAGGGGAGCACGTTTATATCCCAGAGTGGGGCTATGCAAAGACACAGAGTCACTACATGCCCCTGAAGCAATGAGACCAGCCAGGCTGCAGCACAGACATACTGGGGTGAAGCAGAAAGTCAGATAAAGCCAGTCGATGACAAATCAGGACAGTCTTAGTCTCAAAGAAATTAAGAACAACAAAGCCAGAGGAAGTACACGGCAGTACAAGGCATAAATGCTAAATTATTCTTTTAATCACACATAAAATGAGTGCTCTTCCTAGGCAAGCAGTTGCCTTGGGACACTAAAAATTCAAGTGTTCTAAACACTATGAGGAGCTCTTCTCTGGGAACCGACAGCCTTTCAAGCAGAAAGCCTGACTAGCTATAATGCATCTACCCAACTGTGGCCAACAGTCTAATCTGGTGTTGAACATGCCTCTCTTATTTCTGATGGCCAGTTTTAAAACAATTTAATCTGTCCTTAGACCCCTCGACTAAATACATTCAAAAGAATGTGCTATGAGAAGTGGTGCTAGAGAAGAGATCCAAAACTGCTGTGAACAATGTCAGCAGCATCACAGGAAAAGTATAAAGTTTCTTCAGCAACTTTTTTTGAAGTAGACAACACTTATTCTGAAATAAAGATTTCAGGGCCAGTACTCTGGCTTTTAAATGTTTCAGACTCATGCCTTATAATAACTCAAACTTGGCATAATGCAACAGATATATACAAGATGACAAAAATAAAAGACCCCTTCCAAGGTTAGGTGGACAGCCAACCTGCTGGATGTATGGAACCTCAGAGAGGACATAGACTGGACACAAACAGCTGCATTAACACCCCCGCCCTGTCACTCACAGCTTTGTCACTGAACAAACTTCCCAACAATATCAAAACACCATTCTGAACAGACAGAGGAGGGTGTTCAGAGAGGAGGAGGCACAAAACATGGCATGCTGGGGAAAGTGCCAGGCACTCAAAGACAAGCACACAGACATGGGGGAGAAGACTCTGACAGGTGGCCTGTGCCCAGGTGATGCTCAGTAGTCTCCACCTCACCTAGTTCTAGGAGCATCCGCTAACATCAGGAGAGCAGGGGAGGCAATCACAATTTCAGAGGCATGTGAGTTTGGAAAAGGTCAAGACCACATCCCCTCACAATCCACAGTCACATATTATAATCTTTGGAATGGTTCTGTAGAAATAGAAATCTATGCACTTGTGCTTTGTCCCCGCTCCTCCAAAATTCTAAAGCACCCAGTGGCCTTCATCATCTCGCCTATGCTCTGGATGAAACTCACTTCCATGTGAACAATAAGAAAATGGTGTCAAGTTTTAAACCAAAAAAGGAGTATCTCTGGGTTTATATTTTAGGAAGTTTCTCCAGGGAGGCAGGTAAGGGAATGAGGTTTGTAGCACAGGCTCACCAATATGGGTCAGAGAGGCAAATGAGACAATGTATAAAACTTATAAAGGCTGGCCTCCTAACAGCTCCCTTCAGGTGCTTGTGGCTCTGGGCTAGCCTCGGGCATCACACAAGTCCCTCCTGCACACTGCCAGCAAGCATGCAATCAATGGCTGCACAAGAAGCAGATTATCTGCTTTTTACTTCTGATAAAAAGTCCTTTCAATATGTGACCATAAAATCATTTTAATCTTCGAGAACATAAAATAACCCCTTTATAGAATACGTAAATATTCCTTACATAACAGACTCAAAAACCTAAGTAAACATAATTTTTACAAGTCTCCAAAGATACTTTGTGAAATCTGGCATTTGTCAAGAAAACCGAACAGCCTATTTCTTAGTGATTTCTTGAAAATGGTCACTAAGTATGGCAGACACACTGAAGGCAGGCAGTGGCTTCCTAACGAATGGCTACTGTGCTGAAACCTGAGCCAGTGGGAGGTGTTTTCACACAGAATCCCCTGAGTAAAAATGTGTACTTACCCAGCCCAGAGATGTTTATCGCTTTCACAGATTTCTTCATCTTGTAAAGAACCATCCGGTCCACATCCAAAGCCTAAAAATACAGAGAACATGTGAATTAAAAGGTGTTTAAGCAGGTTGGGGTAGAATGCTTTCCTAGTATACATGAGGCCCTGGGTTCGATCCCCAGGACTTCTTTGAGCGACCCCCCTCTCAAAAAAAAAAAAAAAAGTGTTTGAACTTAGACCACAACTACCAGAGATCAGCTATGTGAGAGCCCTCAGGATGCCCCTGCTGGACCATATGTTTCTATGGGGCAAATCCTAGGGGTGTGGATGACAGGCTTTCAAATGGTTCTGAGGAGCAGTGTTGGGGGATTATTGAAAACCAGCTCTTCATGATGTGTTTCATCCACCTGAAGCATGTGACCTGCCCCTTCTGGACACAGCCTTCTACAGTGAAGTGAGTGGACCTGGGCCACTTCTACTCTATTCTCCCTGTGTACCAGCAGGGCTCCAGCACATGTGTCTGCCCATCCCCCTGTGTCTGTGCTCCTCAATGTCCATGCATGTCTCCCTACCATGGAAACGATGTTGAGGACACAGAATACCCTTCCCCAGTGAAGAGCAACCTGACCAGCAGGCCCCAAAGGACAACCAAGTTCAAGGCCAGACCTGCCCCATATAAACACAGGTGGTCCAGTGGAAGTAAACCTACTATGGATTTAGAAAGACCCAAATCCAAGTTAGAAGACATGTTCCTAATCCTTTCCAAACTTCAGATTTCTCTTCCAAAACCTGGCCGCAACAATACCCACTCTCTAAAGTTGAATGATTAAACTGACACAATTATTACATGTTCAATATTTAGCAAATATTAACAAATCAACTGTCAAACAGTAGTAGTACACAGTGCTTTATAATACCTAAGTTAGAGTAGGTGTTGAAACAGCACTGTTCAATAACTCATCAAAGTTGGAATCTACAAAGCTTTCACAAAAATAGAGCTAAAAATTTCTTGTAACCCAACTAACACAGAAGAGCAACGAGTGTCAACTCTTAGTAGTGGTGACAAGAGGGAGAGAACATTTGTAAACTGAAGAATATCGCCAGTCCCAGGGTAAAGTGCCAACTGTGTGAAGAACTGTGGGAAACAGGCAGTCCAGTGCTTGGCCTAGGTAGACCCTGAGAACAGCAGTGATTATTACCTATTGTGGGTTTTGGTCTTGAAACACTGCAATGGCCTGCCATTCAAAACAGAGCACACCACTTCAAAGCAATGCAGGCTGAACTCCCAGCCTTCCCATCACCTCTGGAATCAGTTTTCAACAGCTGTATTTTAAGTCCTAGTTCTAATGCAACAAAGCCATCAGATATTTGATACAGTTACAATACAAAGAGAAGTTCTAATCAGGGTCTGTTGTATTCTTGTCTAAACCCACAGAACACAACCAAGAGTGAACCCTTCCTAAACTATGTACTTTGGGTGATAATGACAGTGTGGATGTAGGTTCTTCCCAACTGTAACAAATGTCCTGGGGAACGTTGGCAGTGGGGAAGTCTACGTGTGTAGGGGTACAATTAAGTGGGAACTCTGCTTTCTGTTTAATTTTGCTATGATCCTAAAACTAAAAATGACCATTTTTAAAAATGGCACATTATTTCCTGCCATATTGTAGAAAAGGACAGATAAGGGCTGACATAAGATAGTTAGAGTTTTTATACAGAGTTAACTCTTACGTTCCTAGATGTTCCTCTCTAATCCATTCCTGACCTTCCTGTGAGACAAAAAAGGGGATTTGAAACAGTAACTAACCCAGGAACATCACCACTGAACTCTCCTTCACAGTCTGGACACTTTCTCTCCTTGATGCACCAGCCACCAAACAGTACCCTGCAAGGCAGGGCTGAGTCAAAAAGCACCATTCCCACACAAAAACAGAGCTGATGGAATAGCTCAAGTGGTACAGTGCCAGCCTAGGCAAGCAGGAGTTCCTAAATTCAAACCACAGTACCACAGAAAAAAAAAAAAAACCTTATTCTAGCTGGCGTCAGTGGCTCATGCCTGTGATCCTGCTACCCAAGAGGCAGAGATCAGGAGGATCACGGTTCAAAGCCAGCCTGGGCAAATAGTTCCTGAGACCCTATCTTGAAAAAAACCCTTCACAAAAAAAGGGCTGGCGCCTCCTCTCAACCCTCCCCACAGACAGAAGATATCCACACCAGCCTGCCTGGGCTCTCTAGAAGGCTGTAACTCAGCAACACCCTTGAATAAGTTCCCCAAGTGGGGTAGAAAGGGAACGAACCTCACACAACAGAGAGGATGGCACAATGAAGGCTCAGGAGGCAGCTCCCAGCCAGGCCACTGGTAAGGCTTCCTGATGTCCTCAGAATAGTACCTCGACTCTAGCAAGCTCTAAAAGCCTTCTCATACTCACACTCCTGCTTGCTCCTCTAGCATCATCTCTGGACCTTCCCCCCACATCTGCTCATCTCCAGATCTTCTGTCATAATGAGTTGCTGTAGCTCTCCCAAGGCTGTCTTCCCTTTTACTTCCCAGCACTCCTCTCTTTAGGATATTCTCCTGCCTCCTCCTGACTCCCATCTTCTATTTCAACCTTGCAAGTTGGTTCGGAGGAGTCTCCTCCCTAGGCAAGCCGCCTGGTTCTCCCTCCTGGATGAAAGAGACACACACTGGAGGATTCCCCACAATACCTGTGCTTACACAGGGTTTCAGCTGAGAAAATTTACTGACACCTGGCCAATGACTAAGCCAGGTGATGGAGAAGCGATGGTGAGCAAACTGGACCAATGACCAGGCAGAAGACAAACTCCTCCACAAACTCAAATTAGTGCTGCTAAAAGCCAGAAGGCCGCAACTCACCTCTACATGCAACTGCTTTCCCTCACCTGTCCAGCTCTGCCTCTAGACCCATGCTGCTCACTGCAGTAGAACCAGATGAACACTCAGATGTGACTAGCACCACATGTTCAAATGTAACACTGGACATATTAGTTACAGAAAATACTTTTACTTTCCCCAACTCTCTATTCTAAGGTTAGGAGCTGGCGTTTGCTCCTCATCACATCCCAGTGCCTGCCAGAGAGTCTAACACAGAATGGACTCCGTGCTGGGCCACAGTGTTTCCCTGACCCAGCGGGAGAACAGACTGAGGTACTTGGAGATTGCTCAGGCTGGGCAGAAAATAGACTGGAGACAGGCAACCCAAAGATGAGGGACGGGCCAGTCAGGACTCAATGCCAGGCAGTTTAACTCTCCTGCCTCTGACATCTCACAGGTTGCAGAACACACGTGTGTGTGGGAGAGTTTGGCTCAATTTGGCTCCGAAGTGGGAGCTGGAGGTGGTGGCCTACTTCCTTATGGAGGCCGGCACTGTGAGACCCAGCTGAACTCTGGTAAGTGCTCTCCCACGTGTGCAGGGGCCCCAGCCCTCCCTGATCATGTATGGAACAGTTTTGTAAAAAAAAAAAAAAAAAAAAAAAAAAGCCTCAGGAATAAGTGGATAAACGCTCACTGCTCTCTGCCTCAGTCTGTTGAGTAGACTCTGAAGTGAAGTTGAGCAAGGCCACAGAGGTAATTTTAATTAAAACTGGAAGAGGGAAAAGCATTTCCCCTCCCTACTCAAAAGCACACCCTTCGCTGTAGTGCATATTTACAGAATCAATATTAAACTTGGTCAGGAGAAATGAGAATGTTTAAGACTGAGCAATACAAAAAATCTTGTGTCCATTATTTATAAAAACAGCTTTGGATCTTAAAGCAACAAGAATAACAAAGATTTAGAAGTCTCCCAAAATCAAAGGAGTCTGCCAGCTTGGCTAAGATTTTTAGCCGGATTAGCCACTCACATCTCTACATCTGCTCAAGCTTAAAGGAAGGAAAAAGGCTGAAACTTGCACCACAATGTGTGTAAAAATCACAAACACACTAAACTGCAACAGACAATAAAGGCCTAAGCAGGGCCGGTCCAGCAGCTAATGTCTGGCCAAACCTCATTAACTCTGAGGAGCTGTACTCAAACTGACCTTCAGTTTATAAAACAAGTTTCCAAGGAAAATAAACAGCTGTTGGGACAGTAAGTGGGGATGGTGAATGGGAACAGGGAGCAGAGATGGGTGAGCCCAGGGATCAGGGAAAGTGAGCCCACCATGGGAAGGACCCTCACACCTCTGTTCACTCTTCATTGTTCGCACCTGTGCCTTCCACCACTGCAGCCACAAGCTACAGAGGAATGTTTCAACCAAAATGGAAAGAAAAACATTAAAAAGGCCACTTCCTGGAGAGCTCCAGGCACACAGGACACCAATGGTTCCAGAACATGGCAGCCCCTTAGGCTTCTCTTCCTCTGTCTCTGCAGGTCCCTCTCCATGCCCCTGAGGGCTGCCCCCTAGCCAGGGGAATCACCCAGGCCTCAACCTCTCGAGGTTGCTCCATAGGCTCAGTGTCAGCATCCCTCTGTGACACTTTCCTCAGATCAGAGGGCAGGCCAGTCTGCCTCCTCCTGGGCCCCAAAGAACACCCCAGGCTATTCCTCTCTGGTAGGGAGGTACCTACATCATGACGGCAGGGTGGAAGGTGGGGGTAGCCACCATGGTCTGAGCTGACCTAGCTCAGGGGCTGGGAAAACCATGGGCCCCCAGCTTGCTTGTATAGTCACAACCTATGGGTTTTTACAAGCAGACATTTCGAATTGGATGTGATGATGGGGTAAAGGGAAAGACTCACTCTGAATTCCAACTAAGAGAAATGTTGTCCTCCAGAGAATCACACTCTTCAAAAACTGTATACTATGACTATTATTGTGTTTTAAATTTCATTAGTAAACATTTGTAGAAATTTATTTACTCTCTAGAAAAATGTAAGTAGATAATAACCTCAATTTTACCTGTAGGTCCAAAAGCCTAAAATATTTCACCACCTAGCCCTTTACAGAAAAAGTATGCCTAGAGGATCTGCACAAAACACTTCTCCCACAGCACCATGCAGCCCTTGGTGCTAACCTGGAAGCCCCAGTGGAAGGCCAGTTGGTCCCAGCACCCTATGTTCTCAATTTGAGCCAGCCTGGGTGGGAAG